TTGCCTCTCCTCACCTTGGCCTTCGGTCGCCACCTACTCCTCCTCCATTCAGCTTCCTCAGCCTCAGTCAGGAGAGTTGCCTCTCCTCACCTTGGCCTTCGGTCGCCTCCACCTTCTCTCCTTACCTTGAGCTCAGCTCAAGCTCGGTACGGGCTCGCCCCGTCTTCTTCCTCGCCCTCGCCTTGCTCTTCCTCCATGTCTTCCTCTTCTTCGCCATCTTCCCTCATCTCCACCCGCAGTCGGTCCTTCTTGTCCACCTTCAGCGAGCAGGCCAGCACATGCATCTCTGCGAATTTACTCAGTGCTATGAACAGGAAGCTAAGAGATCGACGCTCTATGTCGTCGCTCTCCGCCTCCTGCTCAAGCTCAGCAGCTGCCGTTGCCCGTGGCGAGAACGCGCTGCCCCTCCGTGCCTTCTTGCTCTCTCCTTGCACGCGAGTCCAGCGCTTGCTCTGCAGCCACTTCCCCAGCTTCTCCTTGAGAACGTTGCGCCCAACTCCCTGCTCCTCTGGCATCTTCGCCCACTCTCCCAGCGACATGAACTCCAGGCTCCCCGGAGAGTAGAACGTGTCGTGGAGGTTGCCAACGGCCTTGTCCAGGACCAGCTTGATCGGCTCGCTCGTCCCCGCCTCGTTCAAAGAAGCTGCATCTTCGATGACTGCTGACAGCTCGCTGACGAGCTGCATGTCCTCTTGGCTTGACGGAGATGCTGCCTCCATTGTGATCCTCTCCAGGTCTGTAAACTCCAGCCACTCTCCCTCGCTCTCCTCCTGTCGCTGCGCTGCGTCGCTGGTGCCCCGCTGACCAGCCGCCTCAGAGTCAGGCTCCTTGTCGAAGCCGACTGCTTCGAGCTTGGTTGCTGCGCCTTCGAGATAGAAGGGCAGCTCCTTCATCATGCGTCGAGCATCCTCCGTGGAGCCGAGGAGGATGCATAGCTTGGACCCGTTCCAGGACTTGGTGTTCAAATCCTCCTCCATGTCGATGCCTTCAACGTTGATCTCGAGCCTGTTAGCGATCTCCAACAAGACTCTCTTGACTCTTGCGATAGACGTGTTGCCGCCGTTGCACAGCCCCTCCATCTCCTTCCTCGTGAAGCGACCAGATGCCGCCGTCGACTTGATGATGATCTTGATCTCCTTGCCGTCCTTGCCGCCTGCCTTCTTCTGCATCCTTGATGCCTTCTTCAACTTATTTCTGGACACAAAGCGATCAGCTGTCAACTCGACTGCGAGCGCCTCTCTGATCTTCGGGTCCTCGCTGAACAGAGTCAGGTGTACTCCCTCCATCGCTTCGCTCTCTCGGAAAGCTCGAAATGCTGTATCATTCGCCTCTGGGCAGCTCGAGGAGACGATCCACTCCACCTCCCTCTGTCTCCAGATGACGTTGGCCCCTACAGCGATGAAGCCTTTCTGACCTAAGCCTTTGTGGACTTGCTGTCCTGGCGCCCCAGCGACCAGCATGCCTGCCAGCGGCTGGAGTTGGACCGCTGCAAGGGACTGGCGCAGCAGCTGATAGCGATAGACGGCAGCTATCTCAGCCGTTGTCATGCCGCCCAAGGTTAGCAGGTGAGTCAGCTCTGCCAAGCTGCCCCCTTTGCCCCAGGGTCCTCTCTTGGCTCGAATCTTGAAAGATCGATCGTGCACGATGCTCACATGTACAGCTGTGAACTTGCGACCATCGATCGCGAAGTCCTCTCTTCCCTGCCAGAGCTTCTCCGCTTGTGCATTGGGGAGGAAGGAAACAGTCACCGGGATCTCCTCAGCACTCGCTATCTCGGGTCTATACGGAGCCTTCCACATGATTGCTTTACTCTCTTGCACTGAGTCTACGATCAGTCCGATCTCTTCAAATTTCTTCTTCAGCTTCTCTTCATGGTTGACATACACCGAGGAGATGCCCAGGAGAGTCATGGAGATGAAGGAAGTCACCTCGTTGCCTGCTGAGGCGGTGTATGTCTCGACCTTCTCCTTCTTGGCTTCTTCAATCTGCTGCATAAACCACTCTCTGGATGCGTCACTCCATCCAGTCATCGCTTCTTGCAGAAACTCACGTCGTGCCTGCTGACATGTCGAGCGGATGGCTTCTGCGATAGCGTCGGGGGTGCATCCCTCCACAGCCTTGCAAGCCTGGGCTGTCCTGCTGTTCGGATAACGCTTCGCGAAGCTCTTCACCCTCTCGACGAGATCAGCTTCGAGGACAGAGGCATCCACAAGTCCGCTCTGCGTGTATTGGCATGATCTCCGATACAGCAGGTTGCGAACATTTTCATCATACTGAAGAACCATACTTAGAAAGCTATTTGAAGTATACAAACCTCTTGCTTGCAGCTTCCTTGGCGCCCTGGCGGCTTCCCCTACACCTGACGAGGAGCCATGCTGCCGAAAATAACGGCGCCTCTCAACCCTAAACCCTCAACCCTAAACCCTCAACCCTAAACCCTCAACCCAAAACCCTCAACCCTAAACCCTCAACCCTAAACCCTCAACCCTAAACCCTCAACCCTACAACTTCCATTACTCCATCATCTTCATCCGACCACCCGTCGTAGTCTTAACCATAAACTATGCCGACTAGGGATCAGTGGATGTCAATTTGCCCGCGTCTTGGTCAAGTGGCTGAAGCCAGCTGTGACTCTCGCCCAAGCCCATGACATCGCCCCACGCCGCCTCGTCCGCCCAGTACTCAGCTCCCTCCAGCAGACAACCCAGCGTCTCTTCCTCCTCCACCTGCCGTGGCTGTTTCGACATCCATCGCGAGCTCGCTCTGCCCGACCTCTGGACTCCTCCCCTCGGTGGCTCGGAGCAGGTCTGCGCTGCTCTGGCACATCGAGAGCATGGCCGGCTGTCGTCGCACCCCACCTTGGACAGGCGGCATCGCAAGCAAGCTCGCCCCACCTGCTTCCTCCTTGGTCGCCACAGCGACGCGTCCTCCGGAGGCCCCTCGGCTCCGTATCCCGGCAGGGGCGCGGGGCTCCCCTCCCAACGGGCCATGACAGATATGGCGGTGATGCCTCCCAGACAGTCTCTGCAGGCGTGCAGGAGGTTTCTGACCCCGCAATGGGAGCACGGCCTGCCCTTGCTGCACCTGATCTTGCGCCGCCGGCAGCCCTCGCACGACCGTTGCTTCTCCCCGCAGACCATGGCAGAAGACCCTCGTCGCAGATCCTCTACACTCTTGGAGCCGTAGGCAAGGCACGTGCTGCCGCAGCCTTGACGCTGGCAGCGCGTGCAAGGGCGGGTGTCGTCGCACTTGAGCTTGCCGATCTTGCATCGGAGGTCATCCCTGATGGTCCAGGAGCTGGTTTCTCTCCATCCCCACGCGGAGGCTGACTGTCATGGCAAGGGCATAAGGCCCTGACTCTAGCTCTAGTGGTGTCGGGCAGATGCAGTCACTCGCCTTCAATGAGATTGTAAATGAGAGGGTTTATCATGTACCCTTCCGACTTCCTAGTCTAGTCTCACCACCCTACACACTACCGTAGACGATGACAGCGCCGGGACCCATGCCCGGCTACCCGAGCTCAGCGTCCAGCCCAGCGAGCATCAAGCTCCCTCCTCTGACAGTAGCAGCATCGAGTAAACGTCGTCCTCCTGTGACTTGAGATGGGCCCGCTCTCCGCTTGCTTCCTCCATGCCCGCGTCTTGGTCAAGTGGCTGAAGCCAGCTGTGACTCTCGCCCAAGCCCATGACATCGCCCCACGCCGCCTCGTCCGCCCAGTACTCAGCTCCCTCCAGCAGACAACCCAGCGTCTCTTCCTCCTCCACCTGCCGTGGCTGTTTCGACATCCATCGCGAGCTCGCTCTGCCCGACCTCTGGACTCCTCCCCTCGGTGGCTCGGAGCAGGTCTGCGCTGCTCTGGCACATCGAGAGCATGGCCGGCTGTCGTCGCACCCCACCTTGGACAGGCGGCATCGCAAGCAAGCTCGCCCCACCTGCTTCCTCCTTGGTCGCCACAGCGACGCGTCCTCCGGAGGCCCCTCGGCTCCGTATCCCGGCAGGGGCGCGGGGCTCCCCTCCCAACGGGCCATGACAGATATGGCGGTGATGCCTCCCAGACAGTCTCTGCAGGCGTGCAGGAGGTTTCTGACCCCGCAATGGGAGCACGGCCTGCCCTTGCTGCACCTGATCTTGCGCCGCCCGCAGCCCTCGCACGACCGTTGCTTCTCCCCGCAGACCATGGCAGAAGACCCTCGTCGCAGATCCTCTACACTCTTGGAGCCGTAGGCAAGGCACGTGCTGCCGCAGCCTTGACGCTGGCAGCGCGTGCAAGGGCGGGTGTCGTCGCACTTGAGCTTGCCGATCTTGCATCGGAGACATGCGGCCAGGGCGCGAGGCGGGGCAGGTCTGCTGACAGGAGGCCAAGCGGGGAGGGAGGAGGTCAGGGGCAAGAAGGGCATCTGGGGGGGCCTCCTTGAGGGGAGGACATGCCAGTGGAGGGATGAATATGCGCTTGGGGTTGCAGTGATGAGCGTAGAGATGGTGTTCCGTTTACTGGCAAACCGCATCTGTTCGGAGGCGGTAGCACAAGATATCCGGTATTGCTCGGATTGAGCCGATGCTGACACGGTCCAATCGGAGTTACGGAGCAACAAACCTGACTGGCAGGTCTGGTACCTCTGCAAGCCCTTTCTGCCAGCAACCCCCTCCCCCTTCCTAGCGTGTGACCCACCACCCTCCACCCCCTTCCTCGGATGGAGCCGATGCTGACGGTTGATAAATCCGTTGAACGTTCTTGTCTCCTCGATACTCAAGGGGCAACACTTATAAATGTCAATGATATAAAAATAGAATCTTCATGACTTTTTTTGTAACTAGCAAGAAAAATGCAGCGAGGCATCGAGGTGATCCCGGCTGCATTCGCAGAGCAGCTGCAGGACCTCGAGTACGAGGATGACTAGCACGCACTCGTGCGACACCTATCATTGTATGCACCACGCAGGGGCCGTCGACGACGTTTCTGACGATGCTGCACAGCAGGCTCCTGTGTTGAACAACCAGCTGTGCATTTCTTGAGCTCGACGCACAGTTCGATGATAGGCTGCAAGCTTTCGCCACCACGCTGGAGAATACGTCCCGTACAGGAGTGTACGCTCTGTACTTGTCGTTACTTTCATGCGTCTGCGTTGGACAGCGCCAGGCTCCATCGTCGCACAATCCGACATTGTCATGCTTTTCTCGGAGTGCCGTACAGTCGAGTCTTCTGTCAGCCCTGGTACTTTTGCAAGCCATGTGAGGGTGGCGGTTTACCGCCGAGCGTGCGGGGCTCTGCTTAACCGATCATCATCGAAGATGGTCCAGGAGCTGGTTTCCCTCCATCCCCACGCGGAGGCTGACTGTCATGGCAAGGGCATAAGGCGTCTGACTTACCGTAGACGATGACAGCGCCGGGACCCATGCCAGGCTACCCGAGCTCAGCGTCCAGCCCAGCGAGCATCAAGCTCCCTCCTCTGACAGTAGCAGCATCGAGTAAACGTCGTCCAGCTCCCCGTCCTCCTGTGACTTGAGATGGGCCCGCTCTCCGCTTGCTTCCTCCATGCCCGCGTCTTGGTCAAGTGGCTGAAGCCAGCTGTGACTCTCGCCCAAGCCCATGACATCGCCCCACGCCGCCTCGTCCGCCCAGTACTCAGCTCCCTCCAGCAGACAACCCAGCGTCTCTTCCTCCTCCACCTGGCACATCGAGAGCATGGCCGGCTGTCGTCGCACCCCACCTTGGACAGGCGGCATCGCAAGCAAGCTCGCCCCACCTGCTTCCTCCTTGGTCGCCACAGCGACGCGTCCTCCGGAGGCCCCTCGGCTCCGTATCCCGGCAGGGGCGCGGGGCTCCCCTCCCAACGGGCCATGACAGATATGGCGGTGATGCCTCCCAGACAGTCTCTGCAGGCGTGCAGGAGGTTTCTGACCCCGCAATGGGAGCACGGCCTGCCCTTGCTGCACCTGATCTTGCGCCGCCGGCAGCCCTCGCACGACCGTTGCTTCTCCCCGCAGACCATGGCAGAAGACCCTCGTCGCAGATCCTCTACACTCTTGGAGCCGTAGGCAAGGCACGTGCTGCCGCAGCCTTGACGCTGGCAGCGCGTGCAAGGGCGGGTGTCGTCGCACTTGAGCTTGCCGATCTTGCATCGGAGGTCATCCCTGATGGTCCAGGAGCTGGTTTCTCTCCATCCCCACGCGGAGGCTGACTGTCATGGCAAGGGCATAAGGCCCTGACTCTAGCTCTAGTGGTGTCGGGCAGATGCAGTCACTCGCCTTCAATGAGATTGTAAATGAGAGGGTTTATCATGTACCCTTCCGACTTCCTAGTCTAGTCTCACCACCCTACAAACTACCGTAGACGATGACAGCGCCGGGACCCATGCCCGGCTACCCGAGCTCAGCGTCCAGCCCAGCGAGCATCAAGCTCCCTCCTCTGACAGTAGCAGCATCGAGTAAACGTCGTCCTCCTGTGACTTGAGATGGGCCCGCTCTCCGCTTGCTTCCTCCATGCCCGCGTCTTGGTCAAGTGGCTGAAGCCAGCTGTGACTCTCGCCCAAGCCCATGACATCGCCCCACGCCGCCTCGTCCGCCCAGTACTCAGCTCCCTCCAGCAGACAACCCAGCGTCTCTTCCTCCTCCACCTGCCGTGGCTGTTTCGACATCCATCGCGAGCTCGCTCTGCCCGACCTCTGGACTCCTCCCCTCGGTGGCTCGGAGCAGGTCTGCGCTGCTCTGGCACATCGAGAGCATGGCCGGCTGTCGTCGCACCCCACCTTGGACAGGCGGCATCGCAAGCAAGCTCGCCCCACCTGCTTCCTCCTTGGTCGCCACAGCGACGCGTCCTCCGGAGGCCCCTCGGCTCCGTATCCCGGCAGGGGCGCGGGGCTCCCCTCCCAACGGGCCATGACAGATATGGCGGTGATGCCTCCCAGACAGTCTCTGCAGGCGTGCAGGAGGTTTCTGACCCCGCAATGGGAGCACGGCCTGCCCTTGCTGCACCTGATCTTGCGCCGCCGGCAGCCCTCGCACGACCGTTGCTTCTCCCCGCAGACCATGGCAGAAGACCCTCGTCGCAGATCCTCTACACTCTTGGAGCCGTAGGCAAGGCACGTGCTGCCGCAGCCTTGACGCTGGCAGCGCGTGCAAGGGCGGGTGTCGTCGCACTTGAGCTTGCCGATCTTGCATCGGAGACATGCGGCCAGGGCGCGAGGCGGGGCAGGTCTGCTGACAGGAGGCCAAGCGGGGAGGGAGGAGGTCAGGGGCAAGAAGGGCATCTGCGGGGAGCCTCCTTGAGAGGAGGACATGCCAGTGGAGGGATGAATATGCGCTTGGGGTTGCAGTGATGAGCGTAGAGATGGTGTTCCGTTTACTGGCAAACCGCATCTGTTCGGAGGCGGTAGCACAAGATATCCGGTATTGCTCGGATTGAGCCGATGCTGACACGGTCCAATCGGAGTTACGGAGCAACAAACCTGACTGGCAGGTCTGGTACCTCTGCAAGCCCTTTCTGCCAGCAACCCCCTCCCCCTTCCTAGCGTGTGACCCACCACCCTCCACCCCCTTCCTCGGATGGAGCCGATGCTGACGGTTGATAAATCCGTTGAACGTTCTTGTCTCCTCGATACTCAAGGGGCAACACTTATAAATGTCAATGATATAAAAATAGAATCTTCATGACTTTTTTTGTAACTAGCAAGAAAAATGCAGCGAGGCATCGAGGTGATCCCGGCTGCATTCGCAGAGCAGCTGCAGGACCTCGAGTACGAGGATGACTAGCACGCACTCGTGCGACACCTATCATTGTATGCACCACGCAGGGGCCGTCGACGACGTTTCTGACGATGCTGCACAGCAGGCTCCTGTGTTGAACAACCAGCTGTGCATTTCTTGAGCTCGAAGCACAGTTCGATGATAGGCTGCAAGCTTTCGCCACCACGCTGGAGAATACGTCCCGTACAGGAGTGTACGCTCTGTACTTGTCGTTACTTTCATGCGTCTGCGTTGGACAGCGCCAGGCTCCATCGTCGCACAATCCGACATTGTCATGCTTTTCTCGGAGTGCCGTACAGTCGAGTCTTCTGTCAGCCCTGGTACTTTTGCAAGCCATGTGAGGGTGGCGGTTTACCGCCGAGCGTGCGGGGCTCTGCTTAACCGATCATCATCGAAGATGGTCCAGGAGCTGGTTTCCCTCCATCCCCACGCGGAGGCTGACTGTCATGGCAAGGGCATAAGGCGTCTGACTTACCGTAGACGATGACAGCGCCGGGACCCATGCCCGGCTACCCGAGCTCAGCGTCCAGCCCAGCGAGCATCAAGCTCCCTCCTCTGACAGTAGCAGCATCGAGTAAACGTCGTCCAGCTCCCCGTCCTCCTGTGACTTGAGATGGGCCCGCTGTTAGGGGTTACGTAAGCGGTTACGAATACTTCAGTCAACTAGACGTCGCGGGATTTTCGAGGATTAATATACCTTCTTATGATGGATCGGTCACGCAACAAGTGCGCGACAGGGAGGGCGCAGTGGACTTGGAAATTTCCAGGATTGCGTCTCCGGCAGGTTCGACCCGGCCGAGGTTCGAATCAGTGCAGTTTGAAGAATTGGTCGCTGCAAACAAGAAGTTGCGAGAAGAATTGCAACTCGCAATGGACATGCAAGTAAAGTATGAAGCTTTCGTCAAGGAAGTGATGTTTCGTAAGGAAAGAGAGCTCGTCGAGACAAAACAGGAAATCTCTGTCCTTAGGGAAGAAAATAGAAAAATGTTCGAGGAAATGATGCAACGGTTCAGATTAAATGAATCAGGAGCAGTTCAATACCTTCCGATCAAGGAACCAAGAGGGGCTGATGCAACATGCAAGCAAAATAATACGAGCATGTCGAACGACATGTCAAGTCAGCATGTCAAGCAGCAGTCTTCCCTAGTGAAGTTTCATTCCAAGGATATTTCTCGATTTAATGGAGAAATGACTCTAGAATATTCCGTTGCAAGTTGGTTTGGGGAGCTTGAGTTTCAATTCCAGCGTCAAAGAATTCCTCCAGATCAAAAGGTTGACATCGCTGCAACATTAGTTGGTAATCGTGTGAGGAATTGGTTGCAAACATTGCGTGGCGAGGATAGATTAATTTCCACACAAGGTACTTGGGAATCATTCAAATCGTTGCTGGTGAAGGAGTATTTGTCGTTGTCGCACTTGCAGTATATTTTGGGTGAGATTCAATGTACGATACAAGGGTCAGAGGAAAAGACTTCGGATTTTGTCAACAGGTTTTCAGCTTTAGCAAATCATTTTATTGCTTGTTGCATGGTGTTATTTCATGGACAAGGACAAGTCGAGACAGCTTGCACGAGGTTTGGTCTTGAACGGTATTTCGCACAGAATTTGTTCAACGAGGTGACCGCGAGTTTCGTCATGAAGTTGTTAATTGACTTGGAAAAGCAAAACGTGAACAAGACTTTGAGTATTGGGAGTTTATTGCCAGCATTGTATCGAGAAGCTAAGTCCATGGATTTGACAACCGATGCGTATAGGAATGACAGGTCAACGCATCATGAGGTTTCGTACGATGATGAGTCAGTGGAGGATACCGACGAAGATTCTCAGCATTCATCTTCGACTCAGGATGAGCAGGACTTACGTGAATAACATTGGCCCAATGCACTTCGCGCTACTCAATTGAAATGACTTGAGGTGGCTGCCGTTTTCTTGTTATGCAGTATTTTAGTGATCAGCGAAGTTCATAGAGATGTTTCTCAGATGATAATGCGCTTGGGAGCGTATGTTAGGGGTTACGTAAGCGGTTACGAATACTTCAGTCAACTAGCTGTCTTATCCGGTCGGTTTGGTTGGTTTGGTAGGTTTTGGTCGAATAAAATGGATCCGAACTTTCTATACGTTCAGTGAGCGCGATTGTGATGAGGTTCCTGTTTGCTTGTTAACGCAAGTTATCAAGTTGGTTCAAGTTCACAGAGTCAAAGCACATCATCAGGATTGTCAATTCTTAACACCCGCTCTCCGCTTGCTTCCTCCATGCCCGCGTCTTGGTCAAGTGGCTGAAGCCAGCTGTGACTCTCGCCCAAGCCCATGACATCGCCCCACGCCGCCTCGTCCGCCCAGTACTCAGCTCCCTCCAGCAGACAACCCAGCGTCTCTTCCTCCTCCACCTGCCGTGGCTGTTTCGACATCCATCGCGAGCTCGCTCTACCCGACCTCTGGACTCCTCCCCTCGGTGGCTCGGAGCAGGTCTGCGCTGCTCTGGCACATCGAGAGCATGGCCGGCTGTCGTCGCACCCCACCTTGGACAGGCGGCATCGCAAGCAAGCTCGCCCCACCTGCTTCCTCCTTGGTCGCCACAGCGACGCGTCCTCCGGAGGCCCCTCGGCTCCGTATCCCGGCAGGGGCGCGGGGCTCCCCTCCCAACGGGCCATGACAGATATGGCGGTGATGCCTCCCAGACAGTCTCTGCAGGCGTGCAGGAGGTTTCTGACCCCGCAATGGGAGCACGGCCTGCCCTTGCTGCACCTGATCTTGCGCCGCCGGCAGCCCTCGCACGACCGTTGCTTCTCCCCGCAGACCATGGCAGAAGACCCTCGTCGCAGATCCTCTACACTCTTGGAGCCGTAGGCAAGGCACGTGCTGCCGCAGCCTTGACGCTGGCAGCGCGTGCAAGGGCGGGTGTCGTCGCACTTGAGCTTGCCGATCTTGCATCGGAGGTCATCCCTGATGGTCCAGGAGCTGGTTTCTCTCCATCCCCACGCGGAGGCTGACTGTCATGGCAAGGGCATAAGGCCCTGACTCTAGCTCTAGTGGTGTCGGGCAGATGCAGTCACTCGCCTTCAATGAGATTGTAAATGAGAGGGTTTATCATGTACCCTTCCGACTTCCTAGTCTAGTCTCACCACCCTACAAACTACCGTAGACGATGACAGCGCCGGGACCCATGCCCGGCTACCCGAGCTCAGCGTCCAGCCCAGCGAGCATCAAGCTCCCTCCTCTGACAGTAGCAGCATCGAGTAAACGTCGTCCAGCTCCCCGTCCTCCTGTGACTTGAGATGGGCCCGCTCTCCGCTTGCTTCCTCCATGCCCGCGTCTTGGTCAAGTGGCTGAAGCCAGCTGTGACTCTCGCCCAAGCCCATGACATCGCCCCACGCCGCCTCGTCCGCCCAGTACTCAGCTCCCTCCAGCAGACAACCCAGCGTCTCTTCCTCCTCCACCTGCCGTGGCTGTTTCGACATCCATCGCGAGCTCGCTCTGCCCGACCTCTGGACTCCTCCCCTCGGTGGCTCGGAGCAGGTCTGCGCTGCTCTGGCACATCGAGAGCATGGCCGGCTGTCGTCGCACCCCACCTTGGACAGGCGGCATCGCAAGCAAGCTCGCTTGGCGGTGATGCCTCCCAGACAGTCTCTGCAGGCGTGCAGGAGGTTTCTGACCCCGCAATGGGAGCACGGCCTGCCCTTGCTGCACCTGATCTTGCGCCGCCGGCAGCCCTCGCACGACCGTTGCTTCTCCCCGCAGACCATGGCAGAAGACCCTCGTCGCAGATCCTCTACACTCTTGGAGCCGTAGGCAAGGCACGTGCTGCCGCAGCCTTGACGCTGGCAGCGCGTGCCAGGGCGGGTGTCGTCGCACTTGAGCTTGCCGATCTTGCATCGGAGACATGCGGCCAGGGCGCGAGGCGGGGCAGGTCTGCTGACAGGAGGCCAAGCGGGGAGGGAGGAGGTCAGGGGCAAGAAGGGCATCTGCGGGAAGCCTCCTTGAGAGGAGGACATGCCAGTGGAGGGATGAATATGCGCTTGGGGTTGCAGTGATGAGCGTAGAGATGGTGTTCCGTTTACTGGCAAACCGCATCTGTTCGGAGGCGGTAGCACAAGATATCCGGTATTGCTCGGATTGAGCCGATGCTGACACGGTCCAATCGGAGTTACGGAGCTTGTAACTAGCAAGAAAAATGCAGCGAGGCATCGAGGTGATCCCGGCTGCATTCGCAGAGCAGCTGCAGGACCTCGAGTACGAGGATGACTAGCACGCACTCGTGCGACACCTATCATTGTATGCACCACGCAGGGGCCGTCGACGACGTTTCTGACGATGCTGCACAGCAGGCTCCTGTGTTGAACAACCAGCTGTGCATTTCTTGAGCTCGAAGCACAGTTCGATGATAGGCTGCAAGCTTTCGCCACCACGCTGAAGAATACGTCCCGTACAGGAGTGTACGCTCTGTACTTGTCGTTACTTTCATGCGTCTGCGTTGGACAGCGCCAGGCTCCATCGTCGCACAATCCGACATTGTCATGCTTTTCTCGGAGTGCCGTACAGTCGAGTCTTCTGTCAGCCCTGGTACTTTTGCAAGCCATGTGAGGGTGGCGGTTTACCGCCGAGCGTGCGGGGCTCTGCTTAACCGATCATCATCGAAGATGGTCCAGGAGCTGGTTTCCCTCCATCCCCACGCGGAGGCTGACTGTCATGGCAAGGGCATAAGGCGTCTGACTTACCGTAGACGATGACAGCGCCGGGACCCATGCCAGGCTACCCGAGCTCAGCGTCCAGCCCAGCGAGCATCAAGCTCCCTCCTCTGACAGTAGCAGCATCGAGTAAACGTCGTCCAGCTCCCCGTCCTCCTGTGACTTGAGATGGGCCCGCTCTCCGCTTGCTTCCTCCATGCCCGCGTCTTGGTCAAGTGGCTGAAGCCAGCTGTGACTCTCGCCCAAGCCCATGACATCGCCCCACGCCGCCTCGTCCGCCCAGTACTCAGCTCCCTCCAGCAGACAACCCAGCGTCTCTTCCTCCTCCACCTGCCGTGGCTGTTTCGACATCCATCGCGAGCTCGCTCTACCCGACCTCTGGACTCCTCCCCTCGGTGGCTCGGAGCAGGTCTGCGCTGCTCTGGCACATCGAGAGCATGGCCGGCTGTCGTCGCACCCCACCTTGGACAGGCGGCATCGCAAGCAAGCTCGCCCCACCTGCTGCCTCCCAGACAGTCTCTGCAGGCGTGCAGGAGGTTTCTGACCCCGCAATGGGAGCACGGCCTGCCCTTGCTGCACCTGATCTTGCGCCGCCGGCAGCCCTCGCACGACCGTTGCTTCTCCCCGCAGACCATGGCAGAAGACCCTCGTCGCAGATCCTCTACACTCTTGGAGCCGTAGGCAAGGCACGTGCTGCCGCAGCCTTGACGCTGGCAGCGCGTGCAAGGGCGGGTGTCGTCGCACTTGAGCTTGCCGATCTTGCATCGGAGACATGCGGCCAGGGCGCGAGGCGGGGCAGGTCTGCTGACAGGAGGCCAAGCGGGGAGGGAGGAGGTCAGGGGCAAGAAGGGCATCTGCGGGAAGCCTCCTTGAGAGGAGGACATGCCAGTGGAGGGATGAATATGCGCTTGGGGTTGCAGTGATGAGCGTAGAGATGGTGTTCCGTTTACTGGCAAACCGCATCTGTTCGGAGGCGGTAGCACAAGATATCCGGTATTGCTCGGATTGAGCCGATGCTGACACGGTCCAATCGGAGTTACGGAGCAACAAACCTGACTGGCAGGTCTGGTACCTCTGCAAGCCCTTTCTGCCAGCAACCCCCTCCCCCTTCCTAGCGTGTGACCCACCACCCTCCACCCCCTTCCTCGGATGGAGCCGATGCTGACGGTTGATAAATCCGTTGAACGTTCTTGTCTCCTCGATACTCAAGGGGCAACACTTATAAATGTCAATGATATAAAAATAGAATCTTCATGACTTTTTTTGTAACTAGCAAGAAAAATGCAGCGAGGCATCGAGGTGATCCCGGCTGCATTCGCAGAGCAGCTGCAGGACCTCGAGTACGAGGATGACTAGCACGCACTCGTGCGACACCTATCATTGTATGCACCACGCAGGGGCCGTCGACGACGTTTCTGACGATGCTGCACAGCAGGCTCCTGTGTTGAACAACCAGCTGTGCATTTCTTGAGCTCGAAGCACAGTTCGATGATAGGCTGCAAGCTTTCGCCACCACGCTGAAGAATACGTCCCGTACAGGAGTGTACGCTCTGTACTTGTCGTTACTTTCATGCGTCTGCGTTGGACAGCGCCAGGCTCCATCGTCGCACAATCCGACATTGTCATGCTTTTCTCGGAGTGCCGTACAGTCGAGTCTTCTGTCAGCCCTGGTACTTTTGCAAGCCATGTGAGGGTGGTGGTCACAGCAGGCTCCTGTATTGAACAACCAGCTGTGCATTTCTTGAGTTCGAAGCACAGTTCGATGATAGGCTGCAAGCTTTCGCCACCACGCTGGAGAATACGTCCCGTACAGGAGTGTACGCTCTGTACTTGTCGTTACTTTCATGCGTCTGCGTTGGACAGCGCCAGGCTCACCAGGCGGACGCTCCCCGTCCTCCTGTGACTTGAGATGGGCCCGCTCTCCGCTTGCTTCCTCCATGCCCGCGTCTTGGTCAAGTGGCTGAAGCCAGCTGTGACTCTCGCCCAAGCCCATGACATCGTCCCACGCCGCCTCGTCCGCCCAGTACTCAGCTCCCTGTCTCGGCCTTCTGCTTCTTGGCTTCCTCCATCTGCTGCATAAACCATTCAGGTCTGCCAGCAAGGTGCTTTCCACATGATAGCCTTATTATGAGTCCTGATTTGTCTTCTTGCCTTCGGTGGCGGTGTATGTCTCGAAATTCTGCTTTTTGGCTTCCTCCATCTGTTGCATCGTGAAACCATGCTCTACACTCCGAGTCTCTTCAAACGCCGCGGCTTCTGAGCGATAGCGTCGGGTTCCGGGCATCCCCCCTCAGCTCTGCCAAGCATGAGCTGTCCTACTTGACACTACTATTATGAAAACGCTTCATGAAGCTCTCTTGGCCTAACTGTAGCTCACCATACTTAGAAAGCTGGCCAGTCAGTGTTTGAACTATACCAAGCAGCGTCGAGAAGGGGCCTGGTGCGTCGGGGTCGGAAGGATTTAGGGTAGGCGAAAGCTGTTTGAACTATACAAAACGTTTGCTTGCAGCTTCCTTCGCGCCCTCCGGGCGGCTTCCCCTATCGTAGTACACTGGGCCTGGCGCGCAACCATGGTGCCTGAAATACCCGGCGCTCCTAAACCCTACAAACTAGTTGAGTTTATTAGAATGCTCACCTTGCCCTATCTTTTAGGCTAAGAGGGATCTCGTGCTATACCCTAAAGCCTAGTATTAGTAGTAGCAGTTTAGTTCATTGCTAGGTAGGATTTCGGCTCAATGGGTGAACTGGTCGAGACAAGACGGATCCAGAGGAACAGAATCAAATGGCAAAGCAACAACGCTTCTTCTTGCTGTTTGCAGCCGCTGAGAATTTTTCTCTACCCCCAAAAGTGCATCAGAGAACCTGCTCGCAAGCAGTTTTGTTGACATGAGCATTCGTAACAGGATGACAAGCCTGGCACTTAAAACAATTACATTCATGGTGAGAAGCCTCACCACTGCACATGGGTGAAAGGGGCACGGCGCGGGCAGGGGAATGACAGTGAGGAGACTCAGCTCGATCCAGACTGCGAAGGCAAGGCTACACGGCAAGTGACTAATCTCATGACGTCGTTGAGCTGATAGTGGGACAAGATTGGACCTCAATGCATCTCAAGCTGATTGTTCGGACAAGTCGGACTTCAGCATTTTATTCATGATCCTACAAGCCCAGCTGCGAGTAAACTTCTTTCGGAAACTCAAACGAGTCGGAGGCTTCGCTGTCTCAACTTCAAACCACGGACTTGGCTACCACAACTTTCATCACGCTGCAAGATAACGTGTAAGACATCAGTCAAAGAATCGTAAAGCATGACATAATCTACAAATATTGCTCAACATCCTCGAGCCGTCACTGCTGCTTGGAATACACACCTTGTGGACCCTGGGGAGCTGTGATTGTCGCCATGCGAGCAAACGCAGATATCACCCTGGAAGAAGCAGTCAAGCTGAAGAGGAGGAAAGCAGTTAGTCACCTCGGATATCACTCCTTCCTTGATGAGCTTCGAGCAATTATGCGCCAGAATCTGCTCCGAGCCTATCATGGAGCCAACCACACGGGGATACACGCCTCGAGACAAGCAGAGCTGTCTGGCAGTCTGCTGCTGTATCAGAAAAATTCTCGCAACCTCTGCGACTTCACCTGCTCCGAGGGAGTGATGGTAAAGCACGGCATTGAGGGCTTGTACTTGGCGACCGCACGGGCTGTGGCTCCGGTGTGAGAGAGAGCCATGAGAATGGCCGCCTGCGAGCATGTCAGATCAGAGAAAGCAGGAGACACGCTGGCAACATCGATGTCCAGGGCTGTCTTGACAACCGAGGAAGCCACGGATTCCTGCGCACCCATAAGATTGAGAACCAACGAGGTAGAGAAAGAGGCAAGGGAACACAAACGGAGAAGTGCCTAGTAACCTGCACAGCATTGGGACGGTCCTTGAATTGCGGATGCTCCAAGGTGCAAGTTCGCATTCTCAGGTACTCCTGCTTGAAAGTCAGTATTGCTTGCATGCCTCATACAGCTGAAATTTCCTGAACATAGTCCAGGGAAGATTCAGCAGTGCGGCAGATCTCCGCCATCATCTTCACACATTCCACAGGCCACTATTCCAAACAGCGTCAGATGCCAAACGTCTCTCAATCCTCTCTATTCCTCACCTTCCCCTTTGCCGTCTCCCCTGAGAGCATGACACAATCTGTTCCCTGCTCCATCATTAGGCAATGACAGCGCCAAAATTGTAGAACAAATTCCTCTTCACCATACCTGAACAACGGCGTTGGCAACGTCGGTGACCTGATTGCAAAAGATGAGATATGAGGTAATCAGGCACAAGACAGCAATACCTCGGCTCTTGTAGGGCGAGGATTGACAATCATACTCTCAAGCATCTGAACGTACAAGAGTTTAAGCAACGCGTATAGATTGAACAAGATAGTGAGTGGATCCAACCTGAGTTGCCGTGATGACTGGCTTTCCCGCGTGATTGCACTTGTCAATGATCATCTTCTGAGCAAGATACACCTGCAGATAAATAGAGCTAGTCACTACTCTAACCAAGCAATCTGTGAAGCCTCGAGGATACAAAACAACATGTAAAGAATCTTCCTCAGCACAGTTTTGCATCACATATGTCAGACAAACTGTGAAAATAAGATTCGGCATCAAGGGAAGTAGGTAAACCAGTGATTTAGTGATGATCGCATATCACCTTCTGGATTGGGATCTCAATACCAAGATCACCACGAGCAACCATGATTCCATCAGAGACGGCAAGAATCTCTGTTTGAATATGTTGAGTATACAAGGAGAGATAGCAGATGGCTTCTTCTCCTACCGTCGAAGTTGTCCAGACCCTCCTGGGACTCGATCTTAGAGAAGATCATAATGTTGCGTCCAGGCAGCCCGAGGACTTTGCGGATGTCACGAACATCATCAGCCTTGCGCACAAAGGAAGCAGCAATGAGGTCAACGCCCTGCTGTACTCCGAAGATAAGGTCAGACTTGTCCTTCTCCGTGATCGCGGGGAGATCCACAGGAGTGTTGGGAAGGTTAATGCCCTTGGTCTCTCCGAGAGCCACCGAGTTGTTCACCTTGCAGACCACATTGGTCCCCTCGATCCTGAGGACGGTGAGAGAGAGCAGCCCGTCGTCGATGCAGATTTCCTTCCCAACGTCCAACACATTGTGAAGGTTCGCATAATCGTGAGCGACCCACGAGGAGTTTCCCTTGTTCTGCACGCCCTGAGGGTCGTCGGGGAAGTACTTGAGGGTGAACTCGGTCCCCTGCTCCACCTTTGCCTCTCCTCCTTCCAACTTTCCGGAGCGAATCTCGGGTCCCTTTGTGTCCAGCATGATAGCACAGATTCCCTTGACTTCCGACATGGCAGAGCGCACATTAGCAATGGTTTGAGCATGGTACTCATGCGATCCATGAGAAAAGTTCATGCGCGCACATCGCATGCCAGCACCGTAGAGTTTCTTGAGCATGTCGACAGACTGAGTCTGCGGGCCGATAGTGCACACGATCTTTGTGCGAACCCATTCCTTGCTGACCAAAGGCATCCTGTTATGTCAAGGGTCAACATCGCTGAAAATAAAAAACAAAACAACGTCTTTCATGTGGCATTACAACAAAACACTATACATCTCACGAGCATAGGCTGATACTACCCTCTACTTCTCTGCATTTACTGTGGGAATGTAATTCGCATTGAAGCATCTCGTGTTCCGTGGTGTATTCACACCAACTTTCGAGTGAGAAACATTGACAGTCCTGGGCATCTGCTTCTATTTATGACTCTCTCACCACATTCGAAACCTTCATCTGCAATATGTCTAGTCGGAGACATCGAGCTGTTCGTACGAAGCTTCCCTCCTATGTTGAAATCGACAGATAGAAAGCAGATTCCCTCAGCTGACACAGAATCGTCACTCTGAATCTCACGCTCCTGCAATGGCGATACCCTCTCACACATGCATGTTTCTGCCCCCTCTCTCCTCCTTCTGTCTCTAGCACGCTCTTCGCTCTCGCTTGCTCCGCTTCCCGTCTTCCCGCCAAGCCTCGGCAGGGGGCCGGCATGCACGGGAGGAAGGTGAAGGGGGTGGGGTAGCCACATAGAGTTCAGAGGGTACTGATGGCAAGGGCAAAAGGGGCGATACAACATGGGTGGGGTAGTAAACTGGAACGGGGCCGAGTCAGGGTAGAGGGGTGGGAAACAGAGTAGCTTAAAGCAAGGGCAGCGAGTTTCTTCAATATAATACTATAGACTCAATTAGGGAATCAAAAGTGCTGCCCCCACCCTATGCCCCCAGAGAGTGCGGGCAGATACGAGATGGTAGGATCGGAGGAGAGGGACCCCTCCTTAATAATGGGGAATCGGGGGTATGTCACCGATAGGCACACGAGATGAAGGGGTGGTTTACTATTGTTGAATCTGGGGGTAGTTTGCAACATGCGGCTTGCACGTTTCGAAATGCTCTGACCAAATGTAACCTTAAATTCAAAAATTTAGGTCAGAAATGGAAACAAATCATGTTTGAGACTGAACAATCTAGTCCACCTCGGAACAGATCAGGCATACATAAAAGTACTTTTTGTGGTTCTACACCTCTGTTGTACTACCCCCACCATATATAAGATTCCTCAATCTCACCGGTGCACATAAAGTCTTTGACCACCCACCCACCCCACCCTACCCCCTAGTCCTCTAGTTTCTCCGAGTTGCGTCTCCTGGAAGGAGCGGCCGGGTTGGTGACCACAAGCAAGTCAGGGAGAAAGAGGGGGTGATCTGATGGAGACAGGGGGGTCCAACTGACACATATAAACCTGCTAATAAAAGCACTTGTAGAGCCGTACCATGAAGTATAATGTTTTATGTGATCCCCGATTGCGAGTTCTCAAGGATACAATTTGGTTTTTTAAAAATCTCGTTTTGGTTGAATTAAGTTGAACCATCTGGTACTAATATATTACTCATTTAAAATAAGCTGGATTTCCACTATGGAAACTGTGCTTGCTATATTTCATTTTAACTTTAAAACTCCCGAAAAAAAAAGGCTGGAAGGCAGCAAGAACAATTTAAAGAAAAACAAAACAAAACCACCTTCATCTTGGCAAGCTCGCCTCATTACATCTCTCCGAAAGCGATTGGGCGCAATGGCTGAGAGGGAGGAGATGGAAGAAGATGAAGGGAATGAAATCAAACTTTGACAGAAATAGACCAGCTTCGATCAGTAGTCCTCATGTCAAGCCGTTGACAACTCTTTGATACGCTTTCGCGTCAAGATGAGTCAATGCAAAGTAAATCAACAGCGGAGGTTGATCATGGTTGTTGTGATTTTCATGATTCCAGTCTTTCATGCAAGACAAACAACAAACGGCGAGACGAGCTGCTATCATGTTCTCTTTCCTCCGCAGCAATACCTTCTTCAAAAAGATGACCCCAGCCACATCACTGTTTCAATCGGTAGTTGTCCGTCTTCCCTGGTGGGGAATCGAGTGATAGTGTTTCTCAACTCTGTGCTTGTGCATGAGCAAGACATTGTTGACGAGGATATGGTGCTCGACGCCATTGCCATCACAAGAGTAGTCCTGGGCTGGAATGAAATTCGCGTGTCCTCGTCCGCCCCGAACCTGCCTCACATATCTTCGCAGTTTTTTGTTTCTGTCGACTACCTGCAGACGTCATTCTCGGAGCTTGTCATTAATCAGGCGACTTACTTGCCTGAGACATCTGCATGGCCCTGGTTTGTGAACGACAAGCCTTTCTTCCTCCATCATGCCAAGCTTGCAGCTATGAAGCCCTTAGTGAAAATCGTCTGGCCGCCGGCAGGATACACGTTTAAAAGGATGCATTATGGTCCTACCGCGTTCTCTCCCTTCCTGCGGGTCGAGATGCTCCCGGGGTTTGGGTTCAACCTCGCGATGAGCATCGACGAGGAGCCGATGAAGGTGTACGGGCCCGTCTACTTCCTCAACCTGCTCTTGGCGGACGGCGAGCATGTTGTCCGAGTCGCACTGACGACCCCGGACTCGCAGCATATGATTTCTGAAGTGCAAACAGTCTTTTTCACTGTTAACCAGACGATCGAGTACGAGGAGGATGGAGAAGGAGCGGACGGGAGTGAGGGATTGCTCTCTCTCGATCCCTTTGAATGCTCTTCTCTCGCCAAAGACGGTTGTCAAACATGCGTCAGAGGCAAATGCCTCGACGGGTTCTGCTCATGCTTTCCTGATTATTTTGGTGAATCATGTGAGTATTCATTTCTTTCAGATACAAGATATCTGCCAGCCAAAGATCCTTCCAAGGTTTGGGATTTCTCGAGTTGCAACAAGTTCATACAAGCAGAGCGGCTATCTCAAGCCATGGGGGAGAAGCTGAATTCCATGCAGTTCCAACAAACTCCTACTCCTGTCTCTGAGACTTCTCGCCGCATATTGCGTCTGTCTCTTGATGACACGAGTGGGTTCGGAGTCACTTTACATCTCATCTCTCAAATATTTTCTTATGCGATCCGCAACAACGAGTCTGTGATCATGACGGGAAAGTTCTCCTACTTCCGGCATCGAGCTTGCAGGACTCCAGGGCAAAGAGAAGACTTGACGTGCCTGTTTGAGCCAACACAGGATCGGAGCTTCGATCATCTCAACATCTCTCTCATCCCCCCGACTTTCACCGCCAACTACCAGCTGCACAACGACTGGCACCTACCGCTGCATGTCAACGCGTCAGGAGGAGGAATCTTCTTCTTCATCTCGCAGCTTTCAAGGTTCCTCATGACTCCCAATCGCAACCTTGAGGCTCTGCTGCGGAGAGTGAAGAGGAGGATACGATACCAGCACCCAATCATTGGCCTGCACGTGCGTCATGGCGATTCTTGTCCCAAGTGGGAGGACAAGCATTCTCACCTTCCGGGAGCAAAGTGCGAGAAGCTGGAGCGATACGTGGAGGAGATTCGAGAGATGAAGCGACGCTACGGTGTTACCCGCGTGTTTGTTTGCACAGACGACCCTGCTGTAATAGAGCAGCTCGCGCTCCTCACTGACTTTCACTTCGTCTTCGTTCCTTTCGATCGCAAGCTCTTCTCAGCGTCCGACTGGTCCTCCACCTTTGCTCTCCTCCTCTTTCTCACTCTTCTACGCAGGGCAATCGAGCTGAAGCTGCTCATGGCGACTCTCGATCGCAGACTTGCGGCTGAGTCCACAGTCTTAGACATCCTCCTCCTGGCCGGTAAAGCTCTCCTTCATGCACCCTCTCTGACCCTCATTTTTTTGTATTTATTGCTGCAGAAGCAGATTATTTCGTCGGTACCCTCAGCTCTCACTTCAGCTCTTTAGCGTTCGAGCTATCCGTTGCGAATAAGGTCGCCTCCTTTCAAGTGGAGAGAGAGAAGATAGCAAGTATACGCGAGAAGTGGAGATAAGAGTAGAGGAGGGGAGGTCAAGGTGAGGAGGGGGAGGGCAAGGGAGAGGACAGGACAGGACAGGACAGGAGGAAGGTAGGTAAGGTTGCAGGAAAGTAATTCAATCCCTGCAGGGCTTCGTCCCTCCCTACGTCTCCCTCGACTTTGCGTGGCATGGGAGGTGAGGAGGAGGAGGAGGAGGAAACGGCAAGCGCTGACTTACCTCACAGCCTCCTCGCTCCTGTCCAGTACTACAACGACGAGGGAGAGACGGTCGAGGCGCGCGAGCATAACCCTGCGAGAAGAGATCCGACGCCGAGGACTGCTCCAACAACCAAGAGCTGAATCAACATCAACCGCACGACTACGCACACACGCCTTCGACAGGCGGGGCGGCAGACAGACAGACATCTTGTAGTTTATTTCTTTGGTTCTCTTGTAAATGGGTAATTGTTTCATTAGTGGATCAGTGGATGGTGAAGTGAGCAGGAGGCCACGGTCAAGCCTCGTGCACGGGCTGATCGGGAATGTCTGCATACTCGCCTTCTGTCAGAAACCTCCTCGCCTCCTCCGCTCTGTTCCACGTCGAACCCACAAAGCCCAGCAAGAGAGCACCACACAGCACGAGCAAGACGATGAGCATGGCCTGTATGCTGAGAAGGATGACGTCGAGATCGAAGAGAAGGAGGAGAGAAGAGTATTTCCTCTCAAAAACAGACCGGCAGGCAGCGCTCATGCTGACCCAAATCGCGAGACCTGAATTGAACTGTCATGGTGACGAAACAAATTCAGCCAGACAACAAACATGACATGAGAAAAACATGCGGCTCAGATCAGCACGCGACAGAGATCAGCACGTGACTTGGATCAGCACATGACTGAAGACAGAGCATCTGAGAGTTGTCAAGACAATCAAGAAAGTTCCTCACCCCAGATTGTAAGCGCAATGGAGGACGCAAGGAGAAAGTACCCCATGAGCCCCACGTTCCCCTCCATGTCTTTTCCTCCTCCTGTTGCGACTGACAAACCGAAGAAGCAGACCGCGATGAAGCTAAATATCCAAATGGGCGAGTCGCTGTTGCAACCCTCACTCATGGCAGGGAGAGATCCGAACAATACTATGCATGCCCATAAGAAATATGCCAGCACAGCCAGGATAACCACAAGGATTATACTTCCAGCCAGCACCAGGATCCCCACTTGTGACGGAGGGAGTGACCCCCTTCCTCCTGTTCCGTTCGCTCCGGAAGCGTTCGAATGCATCCTGAGGCCCTAGCGCAGCTTCAAACCTTCAGCTCCTGTCGGCCTTGGCTGGTTGGTAAAAGCATGTGCTGAGCCGGTCAGCCTCGAGGTTTCGCTTCTCCTTCCTTGACTCTCCCGCTCTCTGGCTCGCCCCTTCTCCTCTTCGTCTTCCTCCTCCTTACTCTCTCCCTCTCTCCTTCCCTCCCTTCCTCTCTCTCCCTCTCTCTCTCTCCCTCTCTCTCTCTCCCTCTCTCTCTCTCTCTCGCTCGCTCCTTGTTCCTGCGAGCCACCCTAGTTCCACCGGCTCTTCGAGATCAGAATGTAATCGGTTAAAACCACGATTTGATTCGATTCGTTCACTGTCACATGAGCCCTCGTTCCATAGCAACCTGTGAACCTAAATTAATTCATATTGCAACCAGGTTTCAAGTAGTTTTACAGGATGCGATGATATGGCCCAAGGCCATGTATGCGAGCTACTATGCAGCGACCTCGTTCTACATTCCCTTCGTTCCTGTGCTGCTCAGAGAAGCAGGTGAGGCTAGTGAGATGCCCGCTAGAGCTCATGTCATGCTTGCTCTCCTCGTGGAGTTCAACAGCGCGCCTGTTGCTGATGCGCATGTCAAGGTCTGTCCGTTTTGGGTATCGGGACCGTCATGTCCATCCGTCCCTTCATCGGCATGCTGTGGGAACTGTCTTGCGCCATGTCGTTGCTGACGCTGCTCGAGCAGGTGCATGCCTGTGTGGGGTTGGGTGGCGGACAAGACAGGAAAGCACAAGGTTGTGCTGTTGTCGCTCATGGCACTGGCTGCCGTCCTGCGGGTGCTCATGCTGTACGTTTCCGAGAGTGTGCCTCTGTTGCTCGCCGTCCTCTTCCTCTCCGACTTCTTTGGGATGGCGATAGAGAGCATGTGCGACAGCACGTGTCTGGAAATGCTCGACGACCCTCTGCTGTATCCCAAGCAGCGGCTGTGGGGAGCGATAGGATGGGGGTGGATCGGGGCACCGCTGGCGGGGATAGTGATCGAGACAAGAGGGCTGGCTCCAGCGTTTTACATCCATGCGGCTCTTGTGGCGCTGACCATGATGGTGATCCTTCACTTCAACGTACATGCCCCCAAGTCCAACGGGAGGATTGTGGAGGTAGCATGGGTCATGTTCCGCGATCGACGAACTTTCCTCTTCTTCATGGCCACCATGGTGCTAGGGCAAGGGTTTGGCGCGATCTTCACGTTCCTCTTTGTACTTCTTGCAGACCTCGGTGACAAGGGAGCAGTGATGGGGCTGTCACTGCTCGTGACCTGCCTGACTGAAGTGCCCATCTTCTTTGTGGCAGATAAGATTATCAACAGCATCGGCATGATCCACTCCTACATCGCCTGCACCCTCCTCATGGCTGTCAGATTGACCTTCTTCTTCTTCATGCACAACCCCTGGCTCGTGCTCATTGTTGAGGTGAGAACCCTCCCATACTTCCTCTTCTCGTTCCTCTCTCCCTCTTTCCTCCCTCCTCTTTCCTTCTTCAACTTTCCCTCTTCCTTTCTCCTTCCTCCTTGTTATTCCCTTCCTCTCTTCATCTATTCCCTCTCCTTCTCTCTGTGCATCTGCTCCTTCCTTACAGAGACTTCAGGGGATCCATGGAGTAACTTTCGGCGTCATGTGGGCTACAGGGGTGACTTACTGTCGCAAGATCGCACCCAAGGGGCTCGGGGCGACCATGCAAGGATGGTACACGGGTTGGACGTTCGGCTTCTCGATGGGGTCAGGGTCGCTCATTGCAGGGGCACTGGCCTCGCGCTTCGGCCTTCCCACCATGTTCCTGGTCCTGGGGCTAGTCTCAGGCGCCACTGGCGTCTTCATGCTGGTGGGCAACTCCTTGGGCATGCTAGGGGAGGCGAACGATGAGGAGAAGTCGTTCTACTCGCAGTTCGATGATGGTAATGGTGAGAAGGTGGCGAAAGAGAGGAATGTGGAGATGCGAGAGGTGACTGTAGAAGAAAATGGCCACAAGAAACAAGACGAGACATGTGAAGCAGAAACGAACAAAGCCGGGCAAGAAGCATAGCTTGCTATGTTTGATCTCTGTGATTATTCTTTCTCTCTACTTGAATGTTGTTCTCTATGTACAAACAGTTTCAGTTCATTCATAAAACCTGCTACACCATGACAAGCCTGACGTCACTTGTTGAGAACTGCCACTCCGCCTCAGAATAGGGGCCGAGAGAAGATTCGGGCAATGGTGACAGAAAGGAAGGGAGAGAGGAGAAGAGAGGAGGGGAAGGGAGAGAGGAGAAGAGAGGAGGGGAAGGGAAAGAGGAGGACATGGGGGAGAGCAGAGGAGATGGGACGGGATGAGGAGGATAGATGTTGGAAGATCCAGGAAAACATGAGGAGGAATGGATGAATGTGGTCGATTTGGAAAGGAAAGAAAGCAACCATCTAATCCTTGAGGCATTCAGAAGCATCAGAGACTGATGCTTTCACTTGTTCTTATCCCATGAGATGGATTAGTTGTGACCGCTCTTCGCTCAGATGTCATCCAAACTCTTCTGGCTTTCTCTCTTCCTGTCTGCTTTCCTTGCCTCCTCCTCAACTAGGGCTGGCAAGGACGTGTGGAGCCTGTGCGGGAGCAGCAGGCATCTCCAGATAACCAGCGTCGTCCTCGAGCTTGAGGTGAAGGCTGCTGTGATGGGTGCGAGGGCCTTCAAGTGAGGTTGTGGTGTCAGGGCACCATCGAAGATGGATACGTCGTGATCAAGTCACTCGGTGATCGATGATGAGTAGGAGCGAGTGAAGAGGAGGAGGAGGAGGGGGAAAGAGGAGGGGGTTGGGTGGGGCGGAGGGGTTGTGATGATGATCAAAAGCTGTTTCCCTCTCTCCCTCTCCCTCTCCCTCTCCCTCTCCCTCTCCCTCTCTCTCTCCCTCTCCCTCTCCCTCTCCCTCTCCCTCTCCCTCTCCCTCTCCCTCTCCCTCTCCCTCTCCCTCTCCCTCTCCCTCTCCCTCTCCCTCTCCCTCTCCCTCTCCCTCTCCATCTCCATCTCCATCTCCCTCTCCATCTCTCTCTTTCTCGTTTCTTACAACTCGATCGTATCAGCTGACAGTGGCCGCAGGGGAGGTGAAGGAGGTGATAGCCAACGGAACCTTCACCTTTAGGATAGAAAACTTGAACGAGGGCACAGAGATCGCGTACAAGGGCCCGTACAGCCTCTGCTGTGCCTTCTTTGAAGGTTCCAACTGCTCGTGGGTAGGAGAGTATCCACACCAGCAGCAGATAGGAGGATGTCCTGTCCCCGTCGGGCCCTTCAGCTCGATGCTGCGCAGACCCTTGTGGATCAAGTCAGCTGGAGTGTACAAGGCAGAAGTGAAATTGTTCTCCGAGCTGGGAGAGGAGATTTCGTGCTACGAGGTCATGGCCGAACTGAACCGAACAGGAGGAAGAAGAGGAGGAGAAGGGGGAGAAGGAGGAGAGATTTTGCAGCACAACTCTCTCGTCCCGATGAAGTCAAACACGACATCTTCAACCGACGAAGTGGAAGTGTCAGCGAAAGAGCGAGCTCATCGTAGAAAGGTTGAATCCTCCTCCTTTCTATCGTCTATCATCGTCGTCATCGTCGTCGTCGTCGTCGTCATCGTCGTCGTCGTCGGCATCATCATCATCATCATCATCATCATCATCATCATCCTCTCCATCCTCTCCATCTCTATCCTCCATCAACTTCTTCTTCCCCATCTTCCTCATCGTGCGTGTGCTCATATAACGTGTTTGCTCTCAGATCGTGCATCAAGGAGACGAGGAGGTTCAGGTCAACGACGCAGAGTTTCACTCCTTGCTGGCTGCTGGCAGGAACTGGTCAGGTGCAGGAGCGGCGGGCGAGAGGTCGCACATGAACTGCCGCCTTCCAGGTCTCTATCGATCCGCAAGCTCATGCGGACCAGGTTGCTGCTGTCTGAATGACGAGAGGGTGGAGTTCACCTTCGTTGAGAAGGTGAGCAGGAGCAGGAGCAGGAGCAGGAGCAGGAGCAGGAGCAGGAGCAGGAGCAGGAGCAGGAGGATGGCGAAAGCGAGGCAGGTGTGAGAAGAGAAGGGGAAGAATGATGGGGGGAGAAGAATTGGTGAAGAGAGGATAAGGACGAGTTGAGGACGAAGACAAAGGAGGATGATTAGCTTTCTTCCAGGTGAAGGGAAACAAGATTTGGGGAACTCTGTCAGCTGCTGGAAGATCACAAGAGGGAAGTCCAGGAGCATGCAAGGGAGCCGAGAGATTGAACATCCGACATTTTGTGAGTGATCATCTTTGAAATGGTTGAGATGTGTTGATGTCCTTGTTCTGCTCTTGTTCAGCGCTCTTTTGTTATCTTCCTTGTATCATCTGATGTGTGTTGTTGCAATTAGGTGATTCAGAAAGACAATTACAACAGGGCAGAGAAGAAATTCTGTCAGAGTTCTTGCCAGGTACGGTGATATACTGTCTACTTGAACTCACAGACATGTGCAGACCTTGATCGCGGAAAGAAAGTTTGAAGACAACAACGTCGTCGTCACCATCCGCAACGACCAACATGTCATGTGCGGGGAGCAGAAGTGATGACATCTTTGAGTTCTACAGCGTCTTGCTGAGACTCGACAGGTACATCTGCGTCCATGGTCCATGTGCGGACAAGGTTGACATTTCAGCTGGAAAATGATTTTTTCCTCATCCGCGCTCTCACTCCTTGTCCCTCCCTCTCCTTCTCCCTCTCCCTCCATCTTCTCCATCTTCCTCCTTCATTCATAACAATAACCGTCATGCAAACTCTCCATCCTTTCCGCCATCTCCAGCCTCCAGTCGTCGTCATACCCCAGCTGAGTGAAGTTGTCAGAATCTCGTCATGCAGGGCATCAGCTGGGACCTGACGGTAGAGAGTGACATCAGCGTCGTCCTGCTTATCCTTGACGAGCCTGCAAGTCTCTCGCAGCCATGACGAGAGCGAGGAAGTCGCCTGCTCCCTCCTTCAGTCCCTGCCTCCTTTTCCCCCCTCCCCCTCCCAACCCTTCCCCTTCCCTCCTCTCCCTTACCCTCCCTTCCCCCCCCCCTCCCAACCCTTCCCCTCTCATCCCCTTCCCTCCCT